GAGGCGGGGTGTGGAAGCAGGGGTGGTGGCGCGCCGTTCCCGTTCGAGAACGCTGCCCGTTGCCCGTGAGTCCGGAGCGCCGTGGGGATGTGCGCTGGCAACGGGCATCGCTGTGGGCTCTGCTGCACCCTGGGGAGCTGCTCGAACTTTTTCTTCCTTTTGCCTTGCAGAAGGTGACCGACGAGGCTCCGTGTTATGACGACCCCCAACAAAGGAAACAAGGCCTTAAAGGTGAGGCGGGCGGGCGCCGGGGCGCGGGCGGCGGGCACGGCGCCGCCGCGGCCCCCAAAAACCCTCCCTCTTCTCCCCAGGTGAAGCGAGAGCCGGGCGAGAATGGGACCAGCTTGACGGATGAGGAGCTGGTGACCATGTCCGTGCGGGAGCTGAACCAGCATCTGCGGGGCCTGTCGAAGGAGGAGATCATCCAGCTGAAGCAGCGCCGGCGCACGCTGAAGAACCGGGGCTATGCGGCCAGCTGCAGAGTCAAGCGCGTAACCCAGAAGGAGGAACTGGAGAAGCAGAAGGCCGAGCTGCAGCAGGAAGTGGAGAAGCTGGCCTCCGAGAACGCCAGCATGAAAATGGAACTGGATGCTCTCCGCTCCAAATACGAGGCGCTCCAGAACTTCGCTAGAACCGTGGCCCGGAGCCCCGTGACCCCCGTGCGGGGGCCGCTTACCTCCAGCGTGGGGCCCCTGGTCCCTGGCAAGGTTGCTACCACTAGTGTCATCACGATAGTGAAATCCAAAACGGACGCCCGGTCTTAGTGAAGCGAGTGTCGCCTGAGCTTGTCTGTGCAGGGCAATTAGGCACAAAACCAGCCTGGAATCCCCAAAGCACAAACCCTCCCGCACGGGTCCGGGTTCCTCCCGCTTGGCCCGCGACCGGCCTGCTGATCACTCCGGTTTTGTTGTGTTGTGTTCGGATCGATGTGAGCGGTGGTGGTGCGTCCCTTGTCCCGTGCAGATGGTTCCTCCTCCCGCCCAGGGGCCTGCAGCCCACGGGACCTCGGTGCCCTGGCCGAGGAGAGGCTGCAGGAGGGCATGGGGAGGCAGCCCTGGAGGGAGGCCTTCTCCTGGACCGGGTCGGGAACCCCAATGTTAGTTGCGTCCCAAAGGCTTAATTTCATTATCCAGGCGGTGTGTCCGGGGCCTGCCTGCCCGGTGCCCAAACCTGCTGCTTTTTGTCTCGTTTGGTACCAGTGGTTGCAGTCAGGGTGTCGTGTGTAATTGATTTTGTGTTCGTCTCTAGGTGTGCCTCTGTGCCCAGCAGTGGGTTTCCCTCGGGCTTCCTCGGCGTCAGCTGGAGTGGTGGAAGGGAAGAGGCCGCGGAGCCGCCGCTCCGGCGCGGAGACGGAGCCGGGATGGGGGCCCAGCACCCTGGGGCAGGGGGAAGGTACCGCCTTGGCTGCAGGCCGGTTTTGTGCCTAATGTGTTGCACTGAACAAGACCAAAATCACTAGTTGTTCCCGTGTTTTGAGGGTATCAAGTGTCTCTAGTGTGATGGTTTACACAACCAGTTTATGTGGTTAAAGAGCCCTTTATTTAAAGAGAGAAACATCATTTTAAGAGTTAGTAAATTATCTAAGTTTAAAAGCGAAATCGGACAGAAGAGAGAGCGTATTTATAGTCAGCTTTTTTTTCTTTTTCTTTTTTTTTTTTTTTTATCCGAGAGGGTGAGAATGTTTGACCATACTATGGGGGAATATTCTCGGAGACTTTGCTAGTTAAAAGTTAATAAATGAATAATTTTAAAGTTTCTCATGAACCTCCCGCAAACCGTTTGTGGCTCTGAGGTTAGTTTTTATAAAGAATTATCACACTTTATTTATAAAACTTAGAAAAAGACAAAAAAAGAGGCAATTCCTGTTTGATATCTTTTTGCAATTGTACCAAAAGTGACTTATTCTCGACCTTGCTGGCTTCTGCTGTGTCCCGCCGTGTCGCGCTGCCTGTGCTCTCCGCACTCTTGCCCAGGGCTGCAGGGTGGTGCTGCCCGTGGCTGCCTTTGCCACGTGGTGTCGTTTTTGCACTCCCCTCGTTTTCCCTGGGCTCCACAGCGACTGACTTGGGAGCCCTCCTGAGTCTTTGGAGGGTTTCTGGCACGCAGGCAAAGTTGCTGTTTCTTGTAAAGGCGGAATCAGTGGCCAGTGCAACTGAGTAGTCAAACCTGTGCAGAAAATGGTATTTTCCACCAGGCACAGGGCAGGCGCTCTGTTTGTCTGCCTGGATGTTACGGCTATTACTTTTGCAGGAGCAGCTCAAGCCTCTTGTAGCCGGTCAGCACTAGGTAACTCTGTTACCTCAACGGGGA